CTTTCTAAATCTGTTTTGTGACTAATGAAAAGAAAATAGGATTCCACTGAGTCGCCTATCTGCCTACTCCAGGACTTCTGTGAGGATCAAATGAGATGAGGTATGGGAAAATGCTCCACAGACATTTGGTTAAAGTGTAAAATATTTGCACCTGGCTCTAAATCAAAAAATATTCTTAAAATAAAAAAAAGCTGTGGTACATTTACACAATGAAATGCTATGTGGCTATAAAAGACAGAGCTCTTACCCCCCCCCCCCCTTTTTTTTTTACAGGATGGATGGACCTGGAGATTAGTATGCTAAGCAAAATATGCCAGTTAAAGAAAGATAAATATCACATAATCTCACTTATATGTAAAATCTAATGAACAAAATAAATTGATGAACAAAATAGGTCCAGAGGCATGGATGCATGGAACAGAATGATGGAGCTCAAAGGGGAGGTTGAGGTGAGGGGACAGGAAGAGATGAACCAAGAACATATTTGCATATATGTATAATTATGGACACAAAAAATAGTGTGGGGAAGGTCTAGGGTGGAGGAGGGGGGACTGGGCAAACGGGGGCAAAGGCTGGAACCTGGGAGGCTCCCGTAATACTGTCATCAATTTAAAAAAATGTAAACAGAGCCCAGCTGGTGTAGCTCAGCAGTTGAGCGTTGATCCAGGAACCAAGAGGTCAGTGGTTTGATTCCCAGTCAGGGCATATGTCAAGGTTTCGGGCTTGATCCCTAGTGGGGAGCATGCAGGAAGCAGCCAATCAATGATTCTCTCTCATCATTGATGTTTCTCTCTCTCCCTCCCCCTTCCTCTCTGAAATCAATAAAAATATATTTTTAAAAATACAAACAGAAAAACAAATTATAATGATGATGATACTGTAATAATTATGTACCAATTGGGTACTAGAATTATTAGGGGATGGTATCATTTTATAAATTATATAAATGTCTAACCATATTATATAAATGTTTAACCACCTGAAAATTAATATAAGATAAATAAAATGCAAACTGTAATTGAAAAAAATACTTTACCTCTGTGAAGTTTGATTGGACAAGAGAAGTCAGAATCAAAGGGATCATCCTCTCCAGACGCCAGTTTCAAGGCAAGCTCCAACTCAACACACTCAAACACATACAGAGAAGGAATGAGGTCGGCCCTGGAATCCCAGGACTTTTCTGACTGTAAAAAAGCATTTTTTTAGTCTTTCAGGTCTATGTGAAAATGTACACAATGAAGAACAGAAGCAAAAAGTTGGATCAAATAGTGCTTTCAAATTCTTAATTCCACCCCCTATTCTGACAGTGCCTTCACAGTCTTCAGAGAGAAAAGTCTCCCTTCTTTTAGAAACATAGGAATAATCAAGTTCAGAGAAGAGCTAAATCAGTGACTCAAAGCTTCTTTATATTTGTCACCAAAGATTGCCAATTTAGAGTCCAGAAGGAAATATGTAGGTTGGTGGATCAAGTAAGTTGGGCACCTTCTAACTTCTTACCATCTAAATTTTTAAGTGGGCTTTGATTTACTTTGAGTGTTCAATTTCCAAAATATATAGAGGTGTCAGATTAAAAAAAAAGAAATTCCTCATCTTTATAAGCATTTATATTGGTTCAGGGTGTAAGCTAGGTGCTGGTGACACAAATGTGCACACACACTCGTCTGACTTACTGTTTGGTCATCTTCTTCTTCCCCTTCCAGCACAACACAGTGATAGAGCATTCCTGACTCAGTAGCAATCACTAAGATGTTGGGGACACAGGGTAAGCAGAGTATGGCACAAGCGTCATAACCATAATTATCTTCAGCTGCAGGATGCATGGGCAATGGGCCTAACAACTTTCCGATATTCCCAGGGCTAAAGAAAAAGTGAAACGTATTTGTGTGAAAAAATATTGGTGCTATAAGTTTTATTCTCTTTTCAAAACATACTTACATGACAGCATATTAAATCATTAACTGTTATCTATGTCCTGATGACTCTCAATTTTTCTGAGAATTTGCTTATTTTCAGGGCTCCAGACCCACATATTTAATTGAATTAGATAAATACATTTACTGAGAGCTACATAACACCCCCACAGAACTGACATTTAACCAGAATTATTCTACCATGTGATAAGTGTAACAATGCAAAGCTTTTCAGGGTACTGAGAAATATAGAAAGGTACAAAAAAAGTGAGGTGTGTAAAAAAGGAATCTCAGTAAGATCAGTGGAGAAAGTATATTCTGGGAAGGGGTGATAAACACCCCAAGCTAGGGAGCAGCATATACAAAGTCCTGAGGCATGAAAAACAAGGAATTAATAAGAAGAAAATTGAGCTTAGTGTGATAGGAGGTGAAGAAAAAGTCTAAGGCAACAAAGAAGCAGTGAGGCAGGTTTTCAGGACTGGCTTACAAAGCAGATGATTTCGTATGGCATGTTAGTGAGCTCAGAGTCTATCTGCTGGGGGAGTGTGTCACTAGAGGTTTAATCAAGAGGGATAGGGCTTCACTTTACTAAGATTCATCTGGTAAGTAAGGAGAATGACACGGAGAGGACCTTTAAGAATGACCCAGGCAGAAGACGATGAGGGTTTCAGTTAGATGGGTCATCTCCTCAACTTACCTGTGTAACAGACTAACATATGTAAGGAAAGTCTCCCCATTCTCATATAAGATGTACAGTGGGTATGCCACTACTTCATCTTTGCCTTTTTGTCCAAAAATATTCTTCGGGATGGCTGCCAATGGACCAAAGTCAAATGCAACTGCTGTTTCTCCTAGAGATGCGGTATATGCCCTCCTGAAAAGAGATTTAAAAACCAACTTGAAAAAAAAAAAATCAAAATATCCAATAATAGGAGGTGGGATGGAAGTTTAGTCAACCAATAGAGAATAGCAAAAACTATGATTATGAAGAATGTGAAACAACACCGGAAAATCCTCATAAAATCAAGTGAAGAAATTATATAATGCTACTTTAATTATAAAGATACACAAATAGTAAAAAATATACACACAGAGACAAACACAAATAAGAAACAGGAAGAAAACAAATAGATACAGAGAACAAGCTGATGGTTGCTAGATAAGAAGAGGTTGGCGAGACTGCGTCAAAAATGTGAAGGGATGCCGGGACCAGTTTGGCTCAGTGGATAGAGCGTCGGCCTGCGGACTGAAAGGTTCTGGGTTCGATTCCGGTCAAGGGCATGTACCTTGGTTGCGGGCACATCCCCAGTAGGGGGTGTGCAAGAGGCAGCTGATTGATGATTCTCTCTCATCGATGTTTCTAACTCTCTATCCCTCTCTCTTCCTCCCTGTGAAATATCAATAAAATACAATAATAATAATAAAAAGAAGTTTAAAAAAAATGTGAAGGGATTAAGAAGTAAGAATTATGCCTTGACTGGGTAGCTCAGTTGGTTATAGTAGAGTGTCCTTCTGAAAAGCCAACGTTGTGGGTTCAATCTCCAGTCAGCGCACATATAAGCAACCAATGAATACAAAATTGGAGGAACAACAAATCCATGTTTCTCTTTCTCTCCCTCTTTCCTCTCTCTGAATCAATAAATTCTTTAAAAAAAGAAATAACAGGAGCTCCAGTGGCGTAATCGGTTAGTGAGCAGTACTTATAAAAAAAGAAATAACAATTGGTAGTTACAAAATAGTCATGAGGTGTAAAGTACCACACAGGGAATATTGTAATAAGTATATATGGTGCCAAATGGGTACTAGACCTATTTGGAGGGTCACTTTGTAAATTATATAAATGTCTAGTCACTAATCTGTACACCTGAAGCTAATATAAAATAACATTGAATAACAAAACTTTTTAACTAAACATAAGTGCACAGAGATTAGCAATCACAGGAGAAAGCCACCATAATTGTGGGTCAGGAGGAAGAACTAATATATATTTAGATCCCTACCCCACCCCCCAGGGCTTCAGAGATCAAAACTGTCCATACAGTCCTAGCCAGCCTGGGCTAGGATAGTGTCAGCCTTTGGACTGAAGGATACATACCCGGGTTGCAGCTGATCCCTGACCTGGGTTGAGACCAGTGGGGGAGGCAACCAATTGATGTCTCTCTCTCACTTTGATGTTTCTATTTCTCAGTCTCTCCCCTTCCCTTCCACTCTCTCAAAAAGTCATTGGAAAGATATTCCAGGTGAGGATTAACAACAACAAAAATTAAAAATAAATAAAACTGTCAATACAGAATTAGCTATATATAAAACAAATAAGGTTAGAAAAACAAAAATAAATGAGACTATTAGATATGACTACCATAGAGACATGAAAAGAACTAAATGGACTTCCAGAAATACTACTACTAAAAGGCTTAGGTACACACACTGTAGGTGATCATGTGCGGTAATCATCACAAAGTATGATCAGGAGGCCAGAGAAATAGGATTTGTGAGTTCAAGAGTGACTGAGTTAGTGGTCAAAGTAGCCAGGAACTTGCCTCTATAGTGGATAAGAACACATAAAAGCCAGGGTCACAGGGGAATCAGAAGGGCTATGTTCCACTCCAGGTTCTGGGATACCAGTTGCTGGTCTGGAGTCCAGCAATCTGCTGAGTGAATAGCTGGTAGGCCTCTACCCCAACACTCTCACCTTTCACCTTTCCTGTACTTTACAATATTAAAATGTATTTTCTTATTCAAGATACAACATGGAGTCAGTTTCAGCCACTCACATTTCCAAACTTTCTTGAAAAACATATCAAGCTAGTAGTTACGATGACATTCAGATTTGTAACTTCCTGTTATTCACATTGCTTACTTTTGCTTATTTCTCACCTTACCAAAAGCATGCTAAAGTCACCCCTGGAAAATTTGCAATCTCTATTAAAATTGCATTTATAACCTCAATAACCTAATTTGAAAAGCATATCATTACACAAATAAACACTTACCCCTTGTTGAGTATTAGACTTTCCTCTTCTGCTTCTGAAAGTACGATGACCTTAGTGGGTGTCTGGGGCTCCCGGAGAGAGTAAATTCTAACAACCAAAAGAGAAGGAAGCCAGCACTTAAAATTCTCTTTCATTTACTAACAGTCTTTTCTTCTACATCTAGTCAGTTCTTAAGAATTTTCCTACCAGTTATCACAACCATTTCTTTGTCAAAAATCTTGCTGTTATTGATAAAGTAGGTACTTCATTTGTTCTTTAATTTTAGAAGGTTTCCTAGGGACCTGAAGAAATATTCTCTATCCTTACCAAAACTATTCATTAGCCTATTCCACCATTGCACTGCACCTGTCTCTTCCATCCTAAATCCTTAGCCATATTCACCTTGTCTAGTCATCTCACTACTGCCCCTAAGTTTGCCAGCTTCCCTTCAAATATACCCATCTTCCTTGGCCTGTTAGACAACAAATCTCACTAGACAAGGAACTACATCTCACTAGTCTGACCAGCAGAGTGACTGACTTGTTGCCTACAATTTATACATGCTTTTGTGATATAAAGACTATCACGCCATCCCTATTTTCTCAAGGAAAATTTAAAATTGAAAAAAGATTTTTTCACTAAAATCACTTTAATTTAAAATAAATTTTCATAGCATAAATGGTTACTGTTAAAAGGAGAAAGAATTTTCAAAAGGTCAGTAATATTATTAGAAATTCATGTCTTTTATGAAGTCTTTTTACAAATTAACAAAATTCATCACTTGTCTGACCCACTAAGGATTTTTAAACTTACTCTGTTCCATTACCAATAAAATGCCATCCAATAAATGTTTTAAATGAAAATTTGATCCAACTGAAGACACATTCATTGTGGTCTTCCTAGCTGCCTGTAAACTTTATTGACTTCAAAATATACCTGAAAACACATACACCCCCATTGGCGCAGAGACTATACATAAGCACAAAACAGAACATATTGTAATGGGGAATAGTGAAAAAATGCAACAGACATTGTGGGAATTTCTTGTTGCCCTGAAATTGTCAACAAAACCCACAGCTTAGGAAAAGAGAAGGGTTAAATACCCCATGTCTTAAAAAGAACCTTCAGCAGAAACCGGTTTGGCTCAGTGGATAGAGCGCCGGCCTGCGGTCTGAAAGGTCCTGGGTTAGATTCCAGTCAAGGGCATGTACGCTGGTTGCGGGCACATCCCCAGTGTGTGTGTGTGTGTGTGTGTGTGTGTGTGTGTGTGCGCGCGTGCAAGAGGCAGCTGGTCGATGTTTCTCTCTCATCATCATATCTAACTCTTTATCTTCTCCCTTCCTCTCTGTGTAAAATCAATAAAATATATTTTAAAAAAAAAACAACAAAAAAAGAACCTTCAATAATTGAGGCCAGATACTTCCTTTAAGGCATGAGGAAGGCTAGACTATACTATCCTCTACTGTCTTCTTTCCCAGCATACATCAAAGGAGGGCTAAGACAGAGGGTGTCAAGAGCCCTTAGGAGTACAGCACAATATTTGTAATGGGAGATAATCCCTCCTTTATCCCCTACTCCAAAACCAAATGGGAGGACAGGGAGGCTTGAAGAGAAAGTGACGTTTAGGAGTGCCTTTAACAGTGCTTACAAAGCAGGTTAGGATAGGAGAGACTGGAGATTCTGAGAGGAAATAGCAATAATTAAGGTATGTAAGTTAGGGCAGTTAGGTAATACTTGAGAATGGGCTACAACAGCCATCAGATAAAGCATTCTAACACGCAAAGACCTCTTTAGTGGTACCTTGAGCTATTAACTGGCAAACAGAAGCAGAACTTCCCTATTCACAAAGCTGTAAGACATACAATAAACTTTACCTTATTACATTGTCTGATGTTAACAGAACTATGTGGGGATCCAGCATTTCACTTGGATACCAGGCAGCATGCTTTAGAGTCAGAGAAGTAGAGCTGGTGAAAAATCTCTCAGCAATTGGAGTGGTACTAAAATAAAGACAACAATTTTCCAAAACATTTTGTAGCTCTTTGATGAAAAATCTTCTAAAGGAAAACCTATTTTAACACTCTTTGCTCTGCTTTCCTTTAAATTTCTTTCACTTAAGTCTTGCTAGGAGAGCATTCAAAGCATCTATTCGATTAATATCAAAGAATCAAAACAAAAATATTTTTCAGGTATATTATGTTATTTGATCTTTCTAGTAACCTTGTAAGGAAAATATAAGAGTAGATATTATCATTCCTATTGTAGAAATGAGGAAATAAAGGGATCTAACCTATAAATTTCAGAGCTAAAGGTGGATTTCTACCTTATATTCTTTTCAACAGATCTTTCAGACTCTCATTTTTCTGAGTTTGTTGAAAACTAATACAAAAGTAAATTTAGTTGAACTTATGAACAAACTGTCTGATTCACAGATAACTGCTATTAAAAAGCCTTATTTCTCGCCTTAGCCAGTTTGGCTTAGTGGATAGAGTATCGGCCTGGGAACTGGAGGGTGCTGGGTTCTATTCTAGTCAAGGCACAAGCCTGGGCTGCAGGATCAATCCCCAGGAGGGGGTGTGCAGGAGGCAGCCCATTAATGATTTTCTCTCATTATTGATGTTTCTCTCTCTTCCTCTCTGAAATCAATAAAAATATAGTATTTTAAAAACAAACAAAAAACCTTATTTCTTGCCCATCAGGCGTGGCTCAATGGTTGAGTATCAACCTATGAACTAGGAGGTCATGGTTCAATTCCCAGTCAGAGCACATGCCTGGGTTGCAGGCTCAATTTCCAGTGTGGGACATGCAGGAGGCAGCGGATCAATGATTCATTCATATTCTCTCTCTCTCTCTCTCACTCTCTCTCTCTCTCTCCCTCCCTCCCTCTCCCTCTCCCTCTCCCTCTCCCTCTCTCCCATCCTCTTTGAAATCAATAAAAAAAATATATTTTTTTTAAACCCAAAATAGTCCTAACCAGTGGATAGAGCATCGGCCTGCGGACTGAAGGGTCTCGGGTTCGATTTCGGTCAAGGGCATGTACCTTGATTGCGAGCACATCCCCAGTAGGAGGTTTGTAGGAGGCAGCTGATCGATGTTTCTCTCTCATCGATGTTTCTAACTCTCTTCCCTCTCTCTTTCTCTCTGTAAAAAAATCAATAAAATATATATTAAAAAAAATAAAAAAGTAAAAAAAAAAACCACCCAAAATAACTTATTTCTACCTACTTGAAAAATAGTCTAACTTCTAATGAGAGAGCAAAGTGATAATTCAGGCAGAATAAAAACTATAATCACACATACACTATAAACATTATTACCATAAGCTGCCAATGTGCAGGCCATCTGGAACATTCACAGTAAACATACCTTAAGAACCACTGGTCTTGAGTAATTTTCTGCATTTATTACAAATTATAAAGATAACAACTAAATGGAAATACAACTTACCTACAATTCACTGTTGATTTTCCACCTTCAAATTCAGAATTCTTCCCCCATCTTTTAGGTAATTCTAATACCATAAGTCCTTTTATTCCTATAAGTGCTATGTGATGTTGTGTTGGACTTAATAAGACTTGATAGATTTCAAACAGGGGTGGATTTATGCAAAGCAATCTCTGAAATTAAAGCAAACTCGTCAAAATACTTAATTTTAATGTAAATATATGTGTCAGTTACTTGAAAGTTTTCTATAACTGTAGGGAATGAAGCTTTCTGAATAATTACACTCAAGCCATTAACTGAAGAAATAGTTCTAACCATTTTGATTGGAATGTGATAAAATGCATCAAATTTCCCTACTTTGATAAATACTGCATATAATTTCCCTCTTTATGATCAAGCTCCAGCCTCCCACTTCAGCCTCAACTCTCCACTATTCCCCTTTTGTACTTGACAATCCAATCAGATTAACTTATACTTCTGGGTAATTATTATGCTTCTCTGTCTTTTCGTAACTGTTTCTCTTCCTGCAATGCCCTCATTTTCCTTTTTTTTTTTTTTTTAATTTTATTATTATTATTGTTATTTTATTATTATTTTTTTTTTAGCTAGCTAACACATTCTTGGAGGAAAGCCTCGATACACTTCCCTCCCAAATAATATTCCAGGGATAAGTGCATCTTTTCTGGACTGCCTCCTGTAGCACACTCATAGTTCTTTTCACTCTGCATTCTAATTATCCTTCTACTTGCTCATCCCATACAACTCTGAATTACTTAGACTGAATTACTTATGAATCTGTGTCTTTCCTCGCTGTATCTTTAGCATAATATATGGCATATTGCTAACTCACTCTCAATATGTTTTAGTGAAGACAAATGAACTCAGAGTATTAATAAATGATAATTATACATTATATTAGAAATAGTACAATAAGATAGAGAATGGGTTTAAGAATTTCTGTAGTAAGTAAAATGGTGCTTTACCTATGCAGGTTATTGCAGTGTTTGTCTAGGCATCATATGCTCTCAAAAAAATCTCTCCTTCCTATTCTCGTTACCATTTTCTTTCCTTTCTACTTTCAGTAATGAACCATGAAATTGCCAATGTATTGCTTATCCTTATGTATGAAGACTCCCACTAAGCCAAAATCCTTTTAGACAAGACGTTGTGAATATGAGATTTCTATTAATTATTACTGATGTCTATAAGCCTGTTTTGTTTTTTTTTAAGTTGCCTTTCGCTGATTCCGTTTTTCCTCCTGTCAGTGGTTCTTTCCTTCTTTTCCCTATCTCCTCAATCCCCATTTTCTTTCTATTTGATTTTGACAGTTTACCTCACATCAAATAGAAGCCAACTGTCTTCTGCTATCCACAATCCAATTACCATAAATCACTTGTGACAATCAGGGTATTTGGGGGTTTTTGTTTGTTTCTTTGTTTTGTTTCTAAGGCTCCACTTATGCTTTTGTTAAACTTGCAACTCATTCTAAGCTGCCCTTTTTTTTTTTTTTTTTTTGCCTATCCAGAGTTTTGGATCTTCTGGAGGATCATTCAGACAAACACCAATATTTACTGAGAGCTTGTATGTTCCAGGAGCTGAGTGAAATACTGGAAATACTTAAGAAAATAAGTAAGGCATACAGAGGTCATGCCTTGGAGTTTACTGTCTAGAAAAGTAGACAATAAATATGAAAAATTTACATGTGACTGTGCCAAATGCAGCCCAGCGATGTAGGGTGCTAGTGGAATACTGTGTGCTGAACATCTTGTAAGTTACTCCTGTAAACTGAAACATTAAAGTTAGTAGACTGTAGACCTGTGACCTATTTTCAAAACTGCAGAACTTTATCTAGCACCTCTTTAATTTCAAATCATTTCTCATCAAGAATCGGACAATGACACACAACAGATGTGGCGTTATAACTGTTGCCCAAGTTTTTTAATCTTTAAAAGAATCAGTTTATTACCAACTAGAAGCCTGGTGCATGAAATTCATACACTCAAGGTATGAACTTCATTCATACACTCAGTCCCGCCTGCACCCACTGGCAGTTAGGGAGCCCTCAGGGGATGTCCGACTGATGGCTTAGGCCTCAGCCAGCAGTCAAGACATTCTTAGTGCTGCCACAGAGGCAGAGAGGCTCCCGCCACCGCTGCTGTGCTAGCCAGCTGTGAGCCTGGCTTCTGGCTGAGGGGCACTCCCCCATGGGAGTGCAATGACCACCAATGACTCCTGCATCCAGCGTCTGCCCCCTGGTGGTCAGCGTGCATCATAGCGATTGGTCATTCCTCCATATGGTGGAGCTGATTCGGTTGCTATGATGTGTGCTGACCACCAAGGGGTGTGTGTGTGTGGAACATGGCAGGCGTTGGCCACAGCAGGATGGTAGAGCAGGTGAGCTGGGCAGTCAGTCCAAGGCAGGATGCCAGTCACTGTCATTGGGGCAAGCCTCTGGTGGTTACTAAAAATTCTTTGCTCCTGAAGTGCCCGGCTAGCTCAGTCGGTAGAGCATGAGACTCTTAAAAATTCTTTGCTCCCACACAGTGGTGGGCTGGGCGCTGCACCCACTGCTGGCGGAAGCTGCCACTCCGGGCCCGATTGATTGGTGCTGTCAGCTAGTGCAAGCAGCAGCAGCTGGTCCAAATCGCCCCTGAGGGCTTCTTCACCTCCCCCTGCTCCTGAGGAGCAACTGAGGCCCCGGCCCCTGTTAGTGAGGCCAGCTGTGGGAGCTGGTGTGGCTGCCAGCAGAGAGGGGACCAGGTCCGTGTACAAGGGGCCAGGCTGGGGCCCAGAGGATGGGCCGAGACCCGCCCCTGTGCCCACCAAAGCCTCCCAGCCCACAGTTCCTGTCAAGGTGCACGAATTCGTGCCCTGGGCCCCTGGTATAGGAGCAACATTTTCCAGAAAGCAATGTTTGCTTACAGCAAGGATGGACTCCTTTCTCATCATATCCACTTCCACAGGCTGTTGGCTTATCACAAACAAACAAAAATCCCTTCCAACCTTGGGGATGGCCTAATTTTCTAAAAAGCAAATGAAGTAACAGGGGATTCCTTTGCTGTGTCAGGCACAAATGTGGTGCTTTCAAATCTATTACCCGATGATGCTCGTAACAATCCCGAGAAATTTAGGATTATCCCTGCGATTTTGAGTGTCAATATCATCAATGAGGCTTCTTAGGACCAGCCTGCTAAAAAGAGCACCTACACCCGCTCTCTACCCCCTTGCCCTGCTTTGTTTTATTCAGAGCCCCTGCATAACGGGTGTTACCTATTGAGCATTACCTCCCGGACCGTGAGAGCATGAGTTCCTACAACTGTGTCGGGTCAAAAACAGAGGCTACAAAATGAAATGCTACAGCCCGGCTGGTTTGGCTCAGTGGACAGAAGGGTCCCTGGTTCGATTCCAACAAGGGCACATGCCTGGGTTGCGAGCTTGATCTCCACTGGGGGACGGGCTGGAGGCAGCCAATCAATGATTCTCACTCATCACTGATGCTTCTCTCTCTCTCTTTCTTTCCCTCTCCCTTACTCTCTGAAATCAATAAAGTTATAGTATTTAAAAAAAAAGAAAAAAGAAATGCTACAGCGGAATGAAAATAAAAGAGAGACTTTGCCACTAGAAGCCGGACGTCTGCTTACCCTGGAACGGCTCGCCTATCTGAAGGCGAAAAAAAAATAGCCAGGATGGGGAGGGAACAAACAAACAAACATAAAAACTAGCTGAGATCCCGGGACGAGGGTCCTTTCCACCATTCGCCTGGCCGTACCTGGTACTGGGAGAGGGCGGGCTCCTCCCCCGCGCTGCCGACGCCCCGAAGGCGGACCACCAGGAAGGAGCTGCCGTCCCCGTCCCACAGGAAGAGCTCCCCGCCGAGGCCCAGGACCAGGTTTCTCGTCAGCGACTGCGGCGGCGGCAGCGGCGAGGAAGACGACGACGAAGAAGCCGGTTTCTCGGCCTCGGCCGGACCCTGGCTTTTCAGTCCCTCCCGGAGCCGCGAGAACACGACGTGGTTGGGAAGCCAGGTCTGCCACAGCTCGCCGTCGCCAGAGGGTCCCTCGGCGGCCGCCATCTTGGCCCAACTGCTTTCCTCACTCCCAATTGCTCGGCCCGCCGCCGGGCGCAGCCAATCCGAGGCCGCCCGCCCCCTGCTTTGGCTAATCAGCGAGCAGGCAGCCCGGAAGCACGAGGCTGGAGCTAGGAGCTAATAAAGCGAGGCCAGCCAATCAGGCAGCGGCAACGCTAGTGGAAAAGCCAATCGTCACTCAAGCCACAGGGGGCGGGACTTGAAAGTCGACTGGCCAGTGATTAAAGTTTTGGAGCCGCGGAAAAGTCTAGAACCTGAGAGAGAGAGAGACTCTGCTCCTATGAATCTCACTGCTCATTGGACAGTTCCAGCTGGGTAAACCTAGATATTCTAAGATTTCCCTCGAGACTGAACTCCCTCAATCCGGAATGGTTAACCTCACGGATGTCACTACCCCAATTTACTCATCTTGGGTTTACTTGTGCAAAGATGACTCCTAGGTGGGACGGCCAGTAGAACACTTCCCAGTACGGTCAGCAGCCAGAAACTACAACTCCCAGGGTTCTGCGCGCCCGCAGGGGCGGGGCTTTCTGGAGGCTACTCCCAAGGAGGGGAGATGGCCGAGCAGTCTGGGTCTCCGCACCGCTCCATGTACAAATTGGTGGGCTCGCCTCCTTGGAAAGAGACGTTCAGGCAGGTGAGTGTGGAATTTGGGGAGCTCTGGCTGGGCCGTCGTCATTCCCCTAATCCCCCCCGCTCCGGGAACCGCTCTCCTCAGTGCCTTCGCCGGCTGAGGCAAGGGTCAGGAGTGCCTGGCGGGTGGAGGTGGACCTAGGACTCAAAGACTTCCCACCTGTAGATCTGGGTCTTGTCCATCGGCCGGCTGCCTCTCGGAATTCCTGGACCCCCGAGTGCGGGATTAGCCCGGGCCGGACCAGCCTCAGGCCCCTTAGTTTTGGATTTGGGTTTGTTTTTAAATTCGAAGTGTGATCATTGCCACCCTTCTGCACTCTGCAATAACAGCACCTGCTCTTGTTGGGTAGTGGGCACCGAGAAGGCACTTTGTTTACTGTATACGTACTTCATGCAAGAGAGAAATTATTTCTATTCAAGATAAAGCGTCTGTTCAGGAGAGCCTCATTTACTGTCTTAGCGGAGTTGTACCTCATCTTAGTTCTGACCTAGTTTGAACTCAGCATGCTTCCTGTAATATTGCCTATGGCTGCAGGAATCCCATAAGAAGTAGATATAGCCCGGGAATATGATCTGATGCTAGAAATGACCTTTGACATCAGGGTTTCTCAACTTGGCCATTGGCATTTTGAGGAAGACAATTCTTTGTTGTGGGGTGGTGGTTCTGTGCATTGTGGAATGTGCCTGGCCTTTACCCACTGGATGCCAGTAGCCCCGAAAATAAGAGTTATGACAACAATGTATCCAAGCATTGCCAGATGTCCCTTGGGGGGACAAAATTGCCCCAAATTTAGAAACACTGTTGTACAGTTTGGTGACTACTGTAGCCATCTCTAGAGCAGCAAGAATTTGGAAGCAGTCGAAATATCCTGTTTAATAGGACAGTGGATGTTGAGGTGTTATCATCCAACCATTAAAGAAGCTGGCATTGAGGGTAAAATGTGAAATACGGTGACCTGGAAATATATGAACAAAATATTGTAATTTCACCTATCTACGTGTAGATAAGGATTAGAGGGGAATGTGCAAAATTAACAGTAGTTTGGATTACAGTTGATAATTTGTGTCTATAAGTTTTCTTTAATGTTTTAATAACTAAATCTAGGAGGTGTTTTTTTTTTAAATATATTTTTATTGATTTTGTACAGAAAGGAAGGGAGAGAGATAGAGAGTTAGAAACATCGATGAGAGAGAGTCATCCATCAGCTGCCTCCTGCACACCTCCTACCAGGGATATGCCCGCAACCAAGGTACATGCCCTTGGCTGGAATCGAACCCGGGACCTTTCAGTCCCCAAGCCGACGCTCTAGCCATTGAGCCAAACCGGTTTCGGCTGTTTGTTTGTTTTTTATGGAATTGCCTTCACCCTTCCCCTATACCTCTTCCCCTCTCCCATCTTCTTCCAAGGGATGCCTGGAGAGAATGAGAAACAGCCGGGACAGGCTCCTGAACAAATACCGACAGGCTAGAGGCAAACCGCCAGGGAGAGCTCGGAGCACCCTTCTGGCACAAGAGCTGATGGAAGAAGAATGGAATGCTTGGCACTCAGTGGAAAGCGGCCCAGCGGCCGTGGCTCAGGTCAGGCTGGGCTGTGCTTTCAGGGAGGGTGCTCCAGCACCAAGAACACCTCCTGTCTTCTCTCTGCCTATTTCCCCGAGTCCTCTAAACGTGTAGACTCTCAAACCTACATTTGGGATAACCCAGTTTCTTCTACCTTTAACGTTAGACTGTTTTAGTACTAGACTGTTGACCTGTTGCATCATTGCATTATTTCAATTATAAAACTAAAAAGAACGTAACTTTACTCCTTGGCTACACCTCTCGAAGTTTTGATGCAGCACTTACGGGGCTAGGAATCTTTCTTTTTTTTTAAAAAAAATTATATTTTATTGATTTTTCACAGAGAGGAAGAGAGAAGGATAGAGTTAGAAACATTGATGAGAGAATCATCGATCAGCTGCCTCCTGCACCCCCCCCACTGGGGATGTGCCCGCAACCAAGGTACATGCCCTTGACCAGAATCGAACCTGGGACCTTTCAGTCCACAAGCTGACACTCTATCCACTGAGCCAAACCGGTTTTGGCAGGAATCTTTCTTTTTTAAGAAGGTCTCCAAGAGCTTTCTGATTCTCATCTCAGTCACAGTTGGGAGCTGAGTGTGGATAGGAAACCTTTTACCAGGTGTCCGGAGAGCACTGGATTGGAAGTCAGCAGCTCTGGAATTCTCATCCTGGTGTTGATGTTGCTTTTTCACTCCACTCTGCCTCTCTGGCCTTTAGTTTTTAAATTTATGAAATGAAGACAATATGTAAATATTGTGAGTGCTATATAAGAAAGCATGTGGGACTCTTGATCCCTAGCCCTCCCACCCACTGCTGCCAGCTTCAATCTCCTGCTGCCCAGTTGTGATCATGTTTGTTTCCCGGCTGAACCTTGCCAGAGGCTCACCTGATTGGAAGGAGCACGTGGGCCCCAGGGATGGTCCAAGGCCCCCCAAGAAGTGGTCCTGCTCCCTTAGCTCAGTGCAACCGGACATACTTGTTCTCCAGACACACACCTGCTGCTTCAATGTCTGCTGGACAGCCCCAGCCCTGCTCCTGTCTGCAGCCTGCCCATTGCCCCAGGCCAGCCCTCAGTGCCACCTTCCAGGCAGCCGCACTCCCCTTGGGTGTCCATGTGGGCACACTGTTTTCTGTTTTGTTCTCTGTCCGCCTGTGTGCTCATCCTCACCTTCTCTCTGTCCGTTTTGTATTCCCCTCAGCATCCAGTGTCGTGTCCTACCCTTAATAATTGTTCAATAAATAGTAATTGGATTGAATTGGGGGAAAAAAGAAAAAAAAAAGAAAGCATGTGGGAAACTGTTTTGAAAACATCAAGGCTCTCTAGAATAATGATGCATTCTTCAGTATTGCTTATGTGTCCTATTGTATGCCAAATGTTTGTGTCATATAATCACAATTAGTACTCACAATAATCTTCATGAGCTTCTCAACTAGGTTTTATTCCCATTTTACAGAAGCCCAAACTGAGGTTTACAGGGGTTAGGAACATTCTGGCAGTTACATAGCTTGGCAGAACCACATACTTAGCTGCTGCCCTATATGATTTGCCCCCAGTTAACTGCCATTATTTTGTCACTGGGTAGTTTAGTCATTTCTTGATGCTTTCTCAGCATGACCACATCACCCCACTGTCAGCACAGTCTACAGAAGGACAGGACTGACTGATTTCCTCAGGTAAATCTGGGTTCTTCAAGCCAACCTCCAAGTATGAATCATTGTGGGGCTTGTCAGCTGATTATAGCTTCATACCTCTGATGGTCCCACTTTCTCTTGCAGTTGGAGGAGCCGATGGACTTGGCTGAGCTGGAGGAAATCCAACAGGAGCTGGTTGACCAAGGTGACCTCTGAGAGTGGTCTTTCCTGCCTGTACCTAGCCACTCTAATGCTGACCTTTATTCTAAACAGAATTAGTTCTTAACTTCTACTTCTGCCTGCAGTCAAGCATCCAGCAGTCTCTGCTTTTACTCTGAAGTCTTGACTGGCTGTCTTCCTAGTAATAAGAGTCTTAAGTATGCTAGGTCTTGTGCTCAGACTTCTCATTCCATAAGAAGTCTTTATAGCTTACAACTATCCTACAAGGTAATAGGAGACAGAAGAGAGAGTGCCATCTCACACAGGTTGAACAGCTAGTGGTGGAGTTGGGAAGCAATATAAATTTTGTGAGTCCAGTTTCCATGCTTATTCTACTATCCTACAGTACCTCTCTCTTACTACAATAGATGAATAGTAATCCTATACCCTGTAGGATACAGTGCAGCGTCATCTCTCTTGCACAAATTAAGTGCCTTCTCTCTGATCCACTCTTTACTGACTACCCAGAGTCTTGTGAGCATCTTCTCCCTGAGGCACTCATAGCACCGTACAGTGCACCATTTAGCACCTTACATCATTCATTCATTCATCCCTTTCTTGAGTAGGCTCAGTGTTTATCATCTGTAAAATAGGCCTGCCCTATAAGTTTGCGTGTGTGGAAACTTATGTTTAATAATACATGTAGAAGATATAGAGAAGTGTATGGCATGTTGAAAGCTCTCAACAAATGAGGATGTAAGACCATGGACTCTTGAGCTTGGCTGCTGAGGTTCATTTCTGAGCTTTACCACTTTCACTGGTACAGCACTGGGCAAAGCACTTAATCGCCCCATGCCTCAGTTTCCTCATCTTTAAAGTAAAGATAAAAACAGTAAACAAGTTAATGAAAAGTTCTTACATTAGCATTTGACAAATTGTAAGTGCTGTGCAAGTGTTAGTTGTTATGATTAGTATTGATTCCAGTTAGACTGTGGACTTTTTAATTTTTTTATTGATTCACCCTCACCTTCACCTGCAAAACATATCTTAGTGTGAAACCTAAGATTCACTAAATATTTTTTGGGGAGTATGTTTAACTAAATAATCTGAAGTGATTAGGATTCACTGTGTTCTGCCCATACTCAGTCAGATGGAACACGCTAGAACAGAGATTGACAAACTTCCTGTGGAGGTCCAGAGAGTAAATATTTTACGCTTTGTGGTCCATGCTTTCTCTGTTGCAACTCCTCAGTTCTGCTGTTGTAGTGTGGAAATAGTCAGACAATACATAAACACATGAGCCTGGCTATATTCCAGTTAACTTTAACTGGAAGTTGGGCTGGATATGGCCCATGGCTGTGGTTTACTGACCCCTGAGCTAAAGTCTAGACTGTGAGCTCATCAAGAGCAGGACCAGTCTTTTTCACCTTTGCATCCCATGCCGGCCACATCCCAGGTATTGGTGCATATTTGCTGAACGAATGAACACAAAAGATTCTGAACACAGACTCTGAGCACAGGGACATTGGGGGACAGATCACTTTAGACTCATCCAGGGGATGGGGGGGGGGGGGGCGCAGCATCAGAAAGAAGTGCCCTGTACGTGTCAGGTTTCTCCAGCTGCCCCTGGGACCCCAACTGACAGCGTACATCCATCTACTCTCTGGCCTCCGGTGATGTGTGTGAAAGTCCTCTCCTTGTCTCTTAGCCTCTCCACTTCACCTCTTTTGCTCACAAAGTGAGGTCAGACAGGAGGGGAGAAATCCAACAAGAGGAAGCCTGGCGGGAGAGTGATATCTAATGGTTGGTAGCATGATTTTACCTGAATTTCTCCCAGGTGGGTGAAGCCTTTGAGGGTGAGGTTAGCACTAAAGACAGGACAGCGGGGTGCAGCATGGTGAAGCATCCACCTGTCCCCTGCCTTGCAGAACAGTCCATCATCAGTGAATACGAGAACAGCTTGCAGTTTGATGAGCAGTGTCTCAGCATCATCCTGGCCGAGTGGGAAGCAAACTCCCCCATCTGCCCTGTGTGTACAAAGTAAGTTTTCCAAACCTTTCAGCATTATTGATTCCCACCTCCACTCCAAAATGAGTGGAATTCCCCCTCCGCTGGCCATGAAGCTCTGGGATCCTAATTCTGCCTCTAGGTACAACCTGAGAATAACCAGCGGTGTGGTCATGTGTCAGTGTGGCCTGTACATCCCGGCTCATGTAAGTGTTACACACCCAGACTTTGTGTCACCTTTGTCCACATGTATCTGTTTACCTGAAGACCTTTCAGCAGTGTGCTGGAGCTGACTGCACATCTTCTCCCAGCTCGTGTTCAGTTCACATTGATAGCTTGAAATGAGCCATGGTGAGACTATACACAGCATGGGAATTGGCAAGCACTACATACCAGGGTGGCCCCTGCCCCCACCTCAGAGCCATTTGTTAAATCCATAAAAATTGTCCACATATGAAGATACACCTACACTCAGGATTTAAGCTTCAGTGATCTTAAAATACAGAAGGAGCCCCCTTATCTGACATGACAGGGACTGAAAGTTTGTCATTTGATTAGAGCAGTACATTATCAAAATGAGACATTTAGAGTAAGTTTCAAATATGTAAATTTATTTGCCAGTCTTTGAGTGGGGCTCTGCTGATTGGAGAGCTGTTTTTTTTACAAACCACTCTTACAATGCATTGCCTAGAGCGTCTAGTTTGTTTCTGAAAAGTGCATTGAGAAGCTGAGTGTACAACTTTAGGATTTTCCTCCCTATATTTTATTTAACAGCTTTATTCAACAACTCGTCTTTTTGAGTTTCCTAAACATCCCACTTATTACAAAAAAGAAAACTTTGTTTTCTTTCTCTTATCTTATTTAACATAGGATGTAATTACTAAGTTACAGTAGCACATTCACTTAGCACAGACAGATCTGGGGCCACGCAGGGCTGGCTCTCGGTGGGAATACATTTGGCTGGTGGAGGCAGGAGCATAAGGAAGGCTCCGGGAGTCCTGGTGCTGTGGGTGGCCGGTGCTTTACAGCAGGAGAGGAGAGGCAGGCAGGTGGAGATGGGCTTAGAGACCTTTTTAATACAATCATGAGCCCAAGAGCACTTTTAAAGGTTCAAGGATGGAATCCAGGCATCACAGATACAGGTTATCTTGAGGAATCAGGTTTTTCTACCTGTGGATGATGAGGGATCTAAGATTAGGTTGCAGTCTAACCTTTTTTTTAAGTCTCCAGAATTGACAGAGCAGAAACTTCGTGCCTGTATAGACGACAGCGTGAATGAGCACAGCGCCCACTGTCCTCACACACCTCAATTTTCAGTCACTGAAGGGACAGGAAGTCAGTCCAGTCTTCTCATGAGCTGTCTGGTAAGCCTCCCAGGGGACCCCTCGTAGGGGCAGCTCAGTGTTTGGTCTTATCCCTGCTCTGGAGGAAATAATAGCTTGGGAACAGGTACATGTTTCAAAGCAGTTTATTCTCTGAGGATATACTTGAATAGGAAAGTGAAGGTGACGATCCTGTTCAATGAAAAGTCCATTCCCTGAGAGGGGCAGGACAGAGGCAGCACAGGGTCATGGGAGGTCTTGGACTGGAATTAGGAAGCCTGGCGGCACTGCCTGCTCTTGTTTGATAGGCAGCAGTGGCCTAAAATGAAGCTGATTATTTCATATTTGTAAGACCAAGTAGGCCAGCCCGGTGCCAGTTTTACATAGGATACGGAACAGGAAGCACAGTAGGACAGCATCAGGCTTGCCTCCTTAGCAAGACTCTTCAGAGGACCTGGGGCTACTGTCTGACCCCCTACGTGACAAATCAGGTGTGAGGGAACAGGACCACAGGTGGATGTAGAGCCACCCTGGCTTAGAAGCCCCCAATCTCACAGTAACCTAAGGCTATAGCTTCAAGGTCCCAAGCAGAAATCAGGAAGCAGTTTTATATTCAAGCGCTTCCTGATTGTTCGGGGAGACAAAGGCTGTGCTGGAAAGGCCTGAGCTGACTGTAGTGAGTGCAGTTTTGTACCTACCTATGGTACCGCCGGTTTCAATCCTGTGTTAAGCTGAAGGAATCCCACCTCCTTGCTGAGCTCTAATAGCTGCCAACTCTCATCGAAGTCTGAATAACCTTTTTGGTCACGGGGTCCGAGGTGAGGATAGCAGGTCAGTCCATCGCCAGGATTTGTAGTTTGCAGGTACTATTGCTGCTGAGGGTTTGAAAGGCAGTTATTATGAGACCACAGGACTTATACCCAGCAAGGCCTCTCACAGAACTATACCAACAACTATTTAATAACTCAGCATCCTCCGTCGTAAGTAGTTTTAATGGCAGCATAAATGTGATTACTGATGAGATAAAACTTAAGCTCCTTTCTCCGTTCACATCCAGGCCTGCGATGCTCGGGCTGTGATCATCTAAGGCCAGCCTGCACTCCCATCCTTCTGTGGGGCTGGAACCAACTCAGACCGTCCGAGGGGCCTTGTAAATACAAACCTTTCATTGTAACTTATTTTATATTAAAACCTTTCAAACATCTAGGCTCTTGGTGTTTGGTTATGCAGTTTGAAGGGGAAGGAATACAAATAGCAAAGACCAATCACTTTAGAGATAAATCAGTTTTTTATTGTCCATCATTATGTTATACAAAACTCTAGAAGTAAAAGGTTTGTAAAGAAACAAATGAATAGTAAACAAGAGGGCAACAAATAATTTAAATCTGAATCATTTTCCATGATAGTAGGGCGAAAACCATTTTAAAATACATGTTTGGCTTCAGAGGAGGTTTTGTTCGCTGGCACAGCCGGCCATAAAATCCGGGTATTCAGTGTCCTGTCTGTTCTACTGGCTCTTGACAAAACCTTTGAGGTCTTCCAGAAAAGTAATGTACTCCTGGTGCTCCAGGGCTGTGCTGAGCTCCACCAGCTCGTCCGCAAAAGTGTTGTCCACCCCCCGGTCCGCAAGGAAATCCATGAGGTGGTCATACAAGGCCTACGAGGAGAAACACGTCAAAAAGGCGGAATGACTTCACCCGTGACACTTGATTAAAATGCTTTTTTGTCTCCTTGGACCAGGACCTCCCTCATAAGGCCCAAGAGCACCCCGCCTCATCGAGCACTCAACTCACCCAGTCCAGGGAGTCCGTGTTGAGTGTGTAGTTTGTGTCCTTCCACTCAGACTCTCCGGTGGTCTGAAAGCTCACTTCCCGGATGGAGAAGATGTCACTCTCGCCCTCTTCTTCCTGTCCAACCTGAGGGGGCAGAAGCAGTTGGGGAACGGAAGGGCTTTCCAAGACAAGCCAGACTCACGCACAGAAAGGGGACCCTTCGTACCTCATCTTCCGGGTAGTGACAGTCCAGCACCAGCGCCTTCTTGCCTCCGCTCTTTATAACCTCAACCACGAAGTTGGGAGTGGACGTCAGTTCAGGCTGGGGAGACAAGGATAAGCGCGTGCCCTTGTGGGTTGCCTGGACCAAAGGTCTCAGATAATTCAGGGGGGCTAGAGGCCACCGCTGTCAGGATATTACCCAGCCATTTTCTACCATTTTCCAAGTCGGCTACATACAGTGTTGCTAACAAGGGCCGAGAATCTTTAGCAGAGCATGAAAGCCACGTCCCAGCTCCTTTAGGAAACTGGGTTGAAGTCTTCCTGTTGGTCCTTTCTAAAGTTAAAGACTGTTTCCGAGGGCAGATCATCTTATACTCAGTAGTGTTTCACTGCTGTGAGCACCTACTTGTTTAAATAACATACTAGGCTTAGAATGAGGAAATTTGAATTCCAGCTCCAGCTATGTGCCAATTAACTTAGATCTAGACTATTCCTTAATCTTCCTAGACCGTTTTCCATCCCTAAACTACAAAGGTGGCACAAAGCCCTAAGATCTCTTTCCAGCTGACTCTGTTTTAGGATTCTCCTTCGGCCTAGGGCCAAGGCCAGTGCATTTGGCTGACTGGCCACCCGAATGTCTGAATAATCACAGCAACTCTCCTTTGACGGTGAGCCATCCAATGTCAGAGATGCCAGTGTGCTGTCACCAGGGAGCTGGTTAGGCCTTGAGACAGTACTGTTATCTGCTTAGTCAGAAGGCCGGGGACTCTGCCCTCATACCAAATGGTTTCGAGCCCAGACACACTGCTTTTTAGAAGGTTTGAAGCCTGGGCACCATCCAGGTCCAACCAAGAGGGCCAGCAACCTCAGGAAAGACCTGTTAAATCTGCGCGGTCCCCGGCGTTACCCCCCTGGTTCAGTGGCTGGTGTTTGTCACCAGCCTGAGACACGTTAGAACATTCCTCACACACAAACACTCCACAAGCGATAATCTCCAACATCAGAGATCTTCCCTTCAGGGAGGGGTAGACAGTTCCAATTCCTTTCCACCAGGAGAACAAAGACCAAGCTGAGCCTAAGCCCGCAGAGGGTGATTTACCCAGCACCTGGGAAACGGGCCACACTCCTGGTGCTAACGCTGGCCCAAAATGGCCGCTCTACAAGTCAAAACCCAAGGACGGTTGTCCTCTGCCTTCTCTCTCCCCTTCTAGCATCACAGGAATTAAACACAAAACAGTGCTCCTCCAAGCCCTGGAGAGCTGTCGGAAATGAGGGAAAGGCCGGAACAGTGCTAAGCTTACCTCCTGCTCTTCAACCTTCTGCCCCTGGGACTCCTCCTCCCCGTCAAACGTCGGTGGGATGCTGTTGTTGATGTTGAAAGTGACTGTGATCCTAGGAAGTTAAAAGAACACACAAGACAGGGTACGTTTTAACTGAGTGTGAAGTAAGCACTGAGGCCTGCTACACTTTAAGATGCTTGTTGAAACAATGTCTCTCTCCCAGCCAGC